CAATCTCGCTCTCCTTCTCTCTCTTTCTCTCCCTCTTTTTTCTTCTTTATGAAACTTTACTGAAGTTATTTAGACCTTTCTGACCTGCAGACTCAGTCATGGTGGTGTGTTCTGTATGGGATAACATTTAATAACCATTCACAAAATTCAGATGGGTGTCTGTATGGCTGATAAAGTTTGCTGTCATGGCAATAGTGCTGTTGCCATGCTGGCTTCCTACAGTGTACTTCCCAGAGCAATTTAAAGCGCCGATTTATATATACTTGAAGTGTTGCAAAGTTTAGCTTCTGTAATTACAGAGAAGCTGTCTCTTTTCTTCACTGAAGAAATTGAGATCAGTTCATGTATTCATCTTCATATTTTTAAATTTAAAAGATGTGAAAGTCTGACATTTTTACATGCTCTGATTGTGGGTTCTTGTCTCAAGGATTCTTTCTCTGATGATATGACAGAACATGAGGATAATATCCATTTATTCACATGCGGTTGATGGGGAAGGATAGAATGAGAGCTTGTCTGTGACAAGCATTTGCACCTAAGGCTCCTGAATAATTTTCAAAGGGCATTACCCATTTTTATATACATATATACAATTTTAAAACAGTGATTGCAGTTATAATTATCATAAATGCTTAATTTTAATATTTGAATTCATTTGCAGGAAATTTTTCATATAATGTTTTGTAGATTTATACAAAATAGGAGTTAGACTTGTTTTTAAAAAACAAACTACAAAAAAAAAAATTGGCAGAAAAAGCATGGCCATAGCATTGGGAGCACATATAGGCTGTAGCTTAGGGTCTACTGCAAGCCAGCCAGCCATAAAAAAAATATGTACTACAGAGGTTTTAGGGTTCTAACACATAAGCTTTAGCAGATTTAACCTCTCCTACCTGTCTGTCTTACCACCCTGCTCATTATTATGGCTTCCATCGCAGCAGAGGTTTATGGTGTCACTTCACTATAAACATCCCGTTTTAGCTTAAGCCAGTGAAGAAGGTGTGTTTTGACTAAGATGCTACACTGGATAGGTCTCATGCACTTTATAGACTTGGTAATCTCTAGAAAAGGCGTGAAGCAATTAGTCTTGGGCAATAATAACCTAAACTGTGACACTATGCTTCTCTGTCAGAAACCTCACCCGATCCAGGGTGGAAGTTCCAGGGTCTTCGAATTACAGCTTGCTTGAGACCCATGTTTATTCTTCAGGGGAGAAGGCAATGCACAATCAGGAAAAAAAAACAGACACGATGCTATTCTCCTAAGCCATTGTTTCAGTTTTAAATGTTAACGCTCCTTTCAACTCAAATAGCATATTAAATATTATGCCCATAACAAATGTGAAGAAATATTCATCCGAAATTGGATAAGAGGATTTTGATACCAATGAATTTAAAACTAGGGTAAGAAATGGAGAGTAGAAGAGTAGATAGTCAAACGGCAGCTCATACAAATGTCTTGTGTTTCCTTAGCCTAAGATTTTTATTTTTATAGATGGATATAAAAGACTTGGGGAGGGGAATAAAAACCTCTTATTTAACAAATGCCTTTGAAAAGGCAGAAAATATGCTTAAATATGCCCTATTTTACACATTCCTTTCATCCTTTAGGCTTTTGACGTAATGCTTATCACTTTGTCATTATGTCAATTTGTGCTTACCAATCTTTTTTTCTCTTGCCTCATATTTAGGCTGTGATTCTGTGAACACTTACATACATGCTTAGTTTTCCTACTCTTTCCTTGTTAATCCCTTTGAAGTTAAAAGGATTACTTGCATTAGTAAAATAAGGCATGTGTGTGCTTGCAGGATGAAGGTCTTACATTGTAAACCCTTTGGGGTGGGACCAGATCAGATATTATGCAGTCATACGGCTCAAAGCATGGTTGGGTGGAGGATGAGTTCAAGAGTTTGCAAAGTTAACAGTTGTTAACAGACCGAACTGGTTTGTGGGATATCAGTCTGGGGCATAGCGTGCAAGTAGCTGCTCACCCCAACTAGCATAAAATCTTCTTCCCTCCTTTTTTGCATTTGTTGCTGAGCTCTAGCCTAAGATTTCATACCAGCTGAGACACCTGCTCCTTTCTTCCTACCTCCTAAAGCAGAAATTTGCCTGATGTTGGCCATGAGGTAACCTAGAGTAAGACCATAAGTACCTTTATGCTGCTCTGCATAGGGAGGAGCAAGAAAGATCTGTAACAGAGCTGCAGAGTTCGCCAAGCTCCCATTGTTGGACACTTGGGTCGTCTCTAAAGAGCCCAGTAGTAGCTTCTCATCCCAACTAATGCTTTTATCTTCTTCCCCTGTTTTCCTACTTTCGAAGGAGACCTAGCCAGTATTTTTTTTTCCCTCCTAAATGTGTGCTATTCCAGTACTCTATTTCAATGATCACTTGCTTTCTTTTAAGACAGACATAATTTAAAATCCACTTGGGAAGATGTCTAGGAAGTCTTCCCTCAGCTGTATTCAGCCAACACAGGTTTATGCACACTATCACAGCATCACAAAAACTAAGCTTGATATTTGGGATAGAGAGAGTCACTCTGTAACACTTATTCTCTGGAAATCTCTGACATAGATATTCCAGAGTTTTTTGTAATATAAATTGAAAAACTATTTCCAGCTTCACAAGAAAAGCTCGAAATCCAGTTTCCAGGAATATTTATTTTGGTTGATAACTCTAAGCAGAAAAATGTTTTTTTTATTACGCTAGTGTCTAGAACTCCAGTGGAGCTTTGGGTGCCATTTTGTTATATTATCCAAAATTAGGGGCAAAAATGCTCTTCTATTAAAGAATATAATCTACGGACTTGTCTACATGAAATATTTTAGGACTTATACTCAATTCCATCAAATCTTTGGAACATGAAGCTCTGGACAAACACCCACTTGCTGAGCTAGCTGTACTTGTGGAACGGGTCACTGTTACTAGATGATCCTTCCTGACCACTTTCATGTTAGTTAACTGAGCCATTTACGTGAATGCACCCTTGCTCTGACAGTCAAATAGCAGGAGTGAGCGCTCATTCCAGTAGCTGAGCAAAGTTTGTGGTAATCTCTGGCAGAAGGATTGTGAAGAGGGACAGGGAGCAAGGCTTGCAGTGTGCATGTTTTTCAACAAATACACCTAATTGAAGAGAGTTACCAATATGATGGTAGTGCTTTTAATTTCTATCTTAAAATTACTTGTCTATGGTATGAATTTAAATTGCTAGAGGGGTGCTGAAGGACCATGACATAGACTGGGAATGGAGAGGATAGGAATAGAGAACGGAATGTCCAGTGGCTGATATTCTCCAAATAGCTGTCAGAAGTATCAAGAACAGTGCCTCTTGCTTTTCTGGAAGCTCTTAGAGATGGGTTTTATGAGCTGTGCTGAAGTATCAAGTGACTGCACTGGAAAGCGAGGCAGCTGCTGACACTTAGAGGGAGCAGAAATGTCTGAATGAAATTGTGTGGGAGCAGAAGTTGCTCAGTGAGCACTAAGTGTGCTTCTGACCTGAAGGCATGGCCATTAGAAGCATCTCATTATCTGCCTGACTTCATCTTCTCCTGCCCAGGCGCATCTGTGCCTTCAGTCACAGGACAAATGCTTCTTGTGTGGATGGTTAACCCAATTCTTAAAAGGTGCTGGGAGTGGCAGGAGATGGGGCACAGCTCTGGGGCACAAGAAACAACCCTAAGGACCAACTCTTTGGGACCACACTTAAGCTTGCAGACTTCTGCTGGCAGTTAAAGCTGGTTGGAAGTGTGAAAAGTAACTAATTACTGCTGTAACTATTCAAGCAGAACCTAACTTCCATGAGGAAATGGCGCTTGAACTCCTGTCTTGTTTCACTTCAGGAACTGTATTACTAAATGCTATTGTAGCCATGCTCACGCTGAGAAGACTGGGATGCAGTAGGACTGAACAAATCTGCTGGAGTTTGTGTTATTTATGAACTCAGGCTTCCCTTGTGCTGAAATGGTAAACATCGGTAAGTGTGTTTCTGGGTCTTTGAGAGACAGCTAAATTTTCTCATCCTGAAATACACTGCCATGAACACTTCTTGTTGACATTTGGGTAAAGGCTGTATGTGCTTCTACAGCGTGTAGCTTTAATGTGCCTGGTTTTCTAGCACTGCTTTTGCCACAGCTGACTTGTAAAAGGTTGCCTTTTTTCCACACACAAGGCGAGTGTTGCCAGGGAAGTCTCTAATGGTCTAGAACAGAGGTTTTTCATGAGTTATCCTGGCTCAACCCCCCTCTGTGGAAATTCCCGTCCTCCACTCAGGATGGGCTGTGGAGAGGCTGTTTTCCCTCTGCACCCAGCATTGGTGAGGCTGCATCTCCAGTACTACATTCAGTTTTGGGTCCCTCGCTTTAAAAAGGACATTGAGGTGCTGGAGCATGTCCAGTGAAGGGCATAAGGTTCGTCAAAGGTCTGGAGAACATGTCTCATGAGGAACGGCTGAGGGAGCTGGGTTTGTTTAGTCTGAGGAAGGGGAAGCTCGAGGGTGACCTCATCGCTCTCTCCAATCACCTGAAAAGGAGGCTGTGGTGAGGTCGGGGCCGGTCTTACCAACTGTGCCTGCAGTGAGAGGACCAGAGGAAATGGCCTTAAGACAGGGGAGATTCAGATTAGATACAAGAAAATTTTTTACTGTTAGGTGGTCAGGCATTGGAATAGGTGGCCCAGGCAGCTGGTGGAGTCACCATCCTGGAGGTGTTCAAGAGGTGTCTGGATCTGGCGCTGGTGATATGGCTTAGTGGTTTAGGGGTTACGGTGGTAGTGCTGCGTTGATGGTTGGACTGATCTTAAAGGTCTCTTCCAAGCTCGTCGATGCTATGACCCTACGATCCTGCGACGGGGCCTTTCCCAGGAAACCAGCGGGAGCGCGCGGGGCGGGGCGGGGCGGCGCCGTCGGGCGCGCGCCGTCGGGAGGCTTTCGCCAACAGGCCCCTCCGCGCGCGCGCCACCGTCTCGCGCGGCCACGGCGCTTCCTTCCGGCCGCCATTTTGTCGGCCGTGCCTCGCCGCCGCCGCCGCTCGGGGAGGGACCGCGGAGCGCCCGGACCGACCACCCGACCGCCGCCATGTCCAAGCGCCACCGCCTCGACCTGGGGGACGACTACAGCTCCAGCAAGAAACGCACCACCGACGGGTGAGGGGCGGCGCGGCCCGCGGCGGGGAGGGGCCGGTGGGGGGCGGATGGCGGCGGCCCACTCGTCATCCGCGCCCCATCCCCGACTCTGGCCGCCCCTCCGCGGCTGGGGCTTCCCCGGGGCGCAGGACGGCCGCTGTGCGGGGCGGGGAGAGGCCACCGTGCGGGCGGGCCCCTAGCGCCGCGGCTCCCGGAGCGCCGGGCCCGGCCTGGCATCGTCCGGGCCCGCGGGGGGGGGCGGATGGTGGCGGGAGCGGCGGGAGGGCCTCGTGCGGCGGTGCCGGGCGGGGGAAGGGAGGCGGGCGCGGGCCCGGCCGCCTGGGCGGGTGGGCTGGGCTGGGCCGAGCCAGGCGCCCGCGGCGGGGGCGGCGCGATGTGGGTCCTGCGCCCCCGCACCGGGCTTTGTCTGCGGCGCTTCGCCGCCTTTACGTGTCTGTTGCCCCCCCTTCCTTTTATGTTTGTTTACTTCTTCCCCTCTTTGCATTGAGAGGCCTGGCAAACTTGGGCCTAGGGATGAGCACGAGGTTTGTCCAGCCCGTGTGACCTGGTAGGAGCGGTATTCCTTTGTTAGCATCTTACACTCAGTCACCGTCGGGGATGTGTTTGGCTTGAAGTAAAAATCGGTGGTGAGGTGGGTTTTACGATAGGGGTAAGGGAGGGATTTTTTTCCTTAGTTTCGCGAAGGTTAAAGTTTTAGGACTGTACTGGACGCGCTTCAGCACATTTTCGTTAAGGTTAATGAAATTGCAAGAACACAGACAATGCACTGGTACTGTGCTTTTATTCACAGTTGCTTTAGAGCCTTCTCTGCATAATTTTTTATCCTCTAATTGGGCGGGAGGGGGAGGGAACATGGGCGGCTCTTTAAAGTAAATTTCTGAGGTCTCAAGGAGTACAAAAATATACAGTGTTTATCTAGTTTGGCCTTCTTGAAGGAGCACAGAAGGTTTCAGAGAGTTAAACAATTACTAGAGTCCATCGGTGTTGTTTTGGACTAGAGTATTTATCTAAGAAAAATACTTGAGCTTGTTCTGAAAGCTTGCAGTCTGGTGTAGCAGTTAATGTTCACTGATAAGCAGTCTTTGCAAAACTTGCCTTTTCATTTTTTTAAGGTGAGCTTGTAGGCTTAGCCCGTAGAGTTGGATGCATTTTTCTCAGCTGAACAAAATTTATTATTGATCGGCTGTTTCCTGTACGTAGGATCACCATAATCATATATTTCAGAATAAGTGGAGTGAGCTGTTTGTCTCCTTTGATGCGATTTTGTATGATTTGCCAGAGGTTGAAATAGCTCCTCTGAGTCTACAGAAAAGTTGTACATGTGCAGCTTGTCTGTTTGTAGAGATTTTTGTAAAATTTTCAAGTGATTGTGTCAAAACCGGGCATTATTTAAGTGTGATGCGACTGTTACGTCTGGTTGTCAAGATAACCATAGGTCAGTATTTCCTTGTCTATGTGTTCGTGGGTTTTATAGTTTTGGTGTGGTTTTATTTATCATTGTTTTTACTCATTATCAGATGTCGTGCTGAACTGTTAGTCTTACCGCGTTGTGTATCCTATGAGTTCCCACTAGTGGTAGTATTTTTAAACCAGAAAACTTTGACCTTTATGGCGCCTAAAAGCTTGTAGAAGTGGTGGTCCTGTGCCCCTTCTTTGTCCCCTCCTCCTCTGCCAGTAAAAGCATTAAATGGCATAGGACTGAGTACAACTCACTATAAGCATAATTACTGACCATGATTATTTCTTACAGTGCTTGAAATCTTAATTCATGTAGCACTAGGCATACTAAAGTTACGTGGTTGGTTTATTTTAGGGTAGTTTGGTTTTGCAGCTTGTGCAAACCTGTAAGGAAGATGCACAGGGCCTTGTTAACAGCGTGTGTGTACATGTCCTCCTCTGTGTGGAGAGTGCCTTCGTGTAATTTAGGTGGTTTTGGAGCTGGGCTAAACTGAATTAGATCCTTGCATGGTTACCACTTCACATTCAGAATAGTAGTTTATCTTGCATTCAAACTGGACCATGTGACTAAATATAAAGGTTGTATCAAGGTAGTCTCTATTGTTTTAGTCCCTTTTTAATGAACGACTCTATTGCTGTGTGGCTCTACGAGGTAGCAGTGCCAGGCCAACAGGTTTGTAATTGTTGGTGTAACAATCCTGCGACATCCTACGACATCTGTTTTCTTTGGGCTTGAAGTACCATCTGTGAAGTAAAAAACTTCTTGGAAAAATGGAAATTGTACAGAAGATTTTTGGTTACAGTGTGTGAATTACATACATACTATTTTAAAATATGCTAATTTTTTTGCAAATATACTTCAGTTCTTGTGTAACATCAGAGTTATTTAGTGGGATGTATTGTTCAGACTAATTGTACTTTGATTTTTTAATGTATGGAACAGAAACTCTCCTTTAGCTGCATTGCCTTTTTTGCATCAACTGTTGCCGTGTTTAGTAATGGAGAGATAACACTGATGCTCTGTTAGGTGTGTTTAGACTTTCACCGTGATGATCAGTTGTTTACCTTGAGCCCTTTGTTTCCATTTTTAGTTTTTATATGCTTTTTATCCTCTGATTTAGTGATTGCTACAGTGTTTCTTTTGTATTCATGTGTGCATATATTATATATGAGTGAATGGAAGGAAATAAAGGCAGATAGCAGACCAGACTTTTTCACTTAAAAGCAGAGCAAAAAACCCCAGCCACTTTCTGACTCTGGAGGCTGTTATGGCATTCAGGCACAACTCAAATGTTTAAATTATAATTATTTTACTGTTAATTTCCGAGTTGGAGTTCAGTTTTCCCTGTGCAATAATGAAAAGTAACTAAAATGTGGCAGTTTATAAATTAAAAACTGCCAAGTTATATTTTTATAAATTTTAGGGAATTCATATGGCATCATAACTGTCGTTCCTCCTTTCTCTTGTTGACCAAAGGAGTCTGTGTCTGCTAAGTTTCAGTAATAATGGGAGACCGGGAAATAGTTTTAGGAAAAAAAAGTGTTGCTATAAAATGAGTGTTAGAGAGTAATTTTGAAGGCATGTTGTTTGTTGTGTTGTTTCTATGCTGGGATCTGGTTCCCCCTGTTTCTCTTTTGTTTTTTTTAATAGGAAAAAGACTCAATTCTCTTTATTAACACATAAATAGTTTTTTACTTCTGAAGTGGAGATAGAGCTTGATAGGTTCCCTTTCTGTTTGAGCAATTAAATAGCTGTAAGAGTTCAGTGAAGAAACTGAGAAATGGGGGATTAATGGGACATTCGGTGCTGGATTGTATTTGTAGTCCATTTAATCCATTGTTTTGTTCTCGAGGTTGTATTTTTGTTTGTTTTAAGCCCATGGAAATAGCTACCAGCACAGGAGATAACAGTGCTACAAGACCTGATCGAGTTAGAATTCACACTGGTGGAGGGGCTTGTTGTTCACAAGGGCAGTGAAATGCTTGAGCCAACACATGGGAGGGGTTGGCAATATTGTGGATCTGTTCATTTTAGCAGTAGTGCTCCTTCATGTGGGGCTGAAGCATATCTGAAGGTGCACTTGGTGGTCTGCAATGCAGGAGCTTTTGACATCATACTGTCTAAGTAAATGGTTGTGGAATGGTTTTTGTTGTTGTGGGGGTTTTTTATACTTTGACTAGATAGCAGTGAAGGATAAAAATCTTTCAGAAACACACATGGAAAAAAAACCCAAATCAAAAACTGTAAGTAATGTGTCTTAGTCTACCTTCAAAAAGTGTGTTGTTGCATTTTACCCTAACTACACTGTTCTTAAATTGCTTTTATACCTTTATTTACTTTTCTTACTGTCTGACCATGCATGTGTTTATCCCAGTACCTGCAGACATTTGAAAATCTGATGGTAAATAGCTCACTTGCAAGTCCCAAGCTTTGTTCCTGTGTGATACATGTTACTAAGAGTAGCATAATGGAGCCTAGTTCCATCACTTTATTACAGTGGTAACTTTTTCGTAGGGAGAATATGAACCTATTGTTCTGCAATATTTGCCTGCCATTTTACAGTGAGAAGAGATTCTAGCTTTGACTGTGCTAGAAGTACTGTTGAAGCTAGGGTATCTCAGATTCAAGCAAATGCTCTAAAAGGGTCTTCATTTTTAGATAATTCAGTGTCCAGAACTTCAGGAAAATCTATATGCAAGTGAGTTAAGGGACAGTAATCAGAGTGTTTTGTAATCCTTTATTTTCAATGGGTCTGTGTTAAAAGAAATGGTCTTTAAAAAATTGTATTTTGATGGCTTCTGTGGCCATAATATGTTTAAGTATTGAGGAAAAAAAATAAAGCCTGCATTCGTTACATTTAAAAAGAGTAGTGGTTGTTGTTTCCAATGCACAGCACATTTTGAATTAAAATGTATAGAATCAGTACTAATATCATCTTGGTTACTGTATCTTCTCCGTAGGTAGGAATTAGTGTATTATTTCAACAGTTATATTTGAATGCCAACTGCATGTTTTAAACAAAAAAAGCCGTGGAGAGGAGTGTTGGCCAACAGTTTTCTTTGGACAAGCTCTCTACTTTCAGGCATACCTGAGTGTTGGTAAAGGATGAGAGGTTTGGTTTTTTCTGCATACTCCTGGACATGTTTATGTGTGCACTTACTATAAAGCTGGTTTGACTTAGTTTGTCGTTTTGCCTTTTTGGTAGGATTTCAGTTAGTGCACAAAAGGAGCCCAAGCTGAGGGCATCCTCAGTTTTGCAGGCAAAGATGCCACTAATGCTTTAACTCATAATAATTTAAAATGTTATAGGATGATTTTGTAAAGCAGGGCTTGTTTCAAAGTCCTGAATTAGGAATTTTTATTAAAGCACGTGGCTGTAGTTTTTTGGGTCAAACAAGGGATTTTTTTTGCGAGTGTGTGTTTGTAGGAAGAGTGAGATTATGTGCAAGAACAAGTACATGGACTCGCAAAATGAGAAACTCTCACTAAGACTGTGGCCAGAGATTGAAAATAATGCCGTCTTTGTTTCGCAAGTGCAGTGACTTCTTTTACTTAATATTTGGAACAAATAGGAATACATAAAAGCTGTTTAAATGTGTGGTAGGAGGTGATACTGGAGAAGGTACTACACAACTTGGCAGTGTTAGTGTAACAGTTGGACTCTATGATCTTAAGGGTCATTTCCAATCTAAATGAATCTGATCCCATGAACTGTAGTGGCTGATTTTAAGTCTAAGTTCCAGACTCAGCAACCTGTATATCAAAGTTGGTTGAGTCAGAATTGTATTGTAAGACTTGAAAGAAAAAAAAAAAGCTACAAAGTAACTGTGGGATATTAAAATCAAGCTTCTCTTCCATGGCTTGCTTATTATCTTGAGTTAATTTTTTGTAGGTGAGCATAATACCTTGGGTAGGTAGGCAGAAAGACTATGAAGTGTAATGTTATGTTTCTGCAGCAGCAAGTAAGGATGGGAAGAACTGGGAAGTCTAGAATGCACAGCTGATTCTTTATAGTTATTAAATGAAGAGGGTTAAAATGATCCTCTCTCCATGTGATGGCTTTCTTCCTTCTTGCCTGTAATGAGAGGAACTGTGGTAGTGTTTGGGTACAATGAGTATGTCTAATGTATATCTGTATATATCTAGTGTTGAGTGTGCATCATACTGTTGTTACTCTGTGGTGCTTATTGTTCTGGGTAGCTGCCTGCAAGGCTTTTTAAAAGATTTGGTTTGTATCCACTTTGTACTGGGTACCTTTAGAGTTGTGTTGTATTTAAATTCCTCCTCTGCATTTAAATATTCACGTGTCTCATTTTCTGCTGTGTCTCTTAACTCATTTCAGGAAAGATCGTGACCGGGACAGGGACCGTGATGACCGTTCCAAAGACCGCGACAGGGATCGTGACAGAGATAGAGATCGTGACAGAGAAAGGGACAAGGAAAAGGATCTTCGACCTTCATCCAACTCTACATATTATGGGGCTGCTGGGTTACCAGCTATAAAACCAGCAATGATTCCACACAGTATTAACCCTTTCACAAATCTACCACATACACCACGATATTATGACATCCTGAAAAAAAGGCTACAACTTCCTGTCTGGGAATATAAAGAAAGATTCACAGATATTTTGATTAGGCATCAGTCGTTTGTGCTGGTCGGAGAGACTGGGTCTGGTAAAACAACACAGGTGAGTTCTTATCTATATGATACTGCATTTTTTTAAAGATTTAGACTGTTGCTAGGCGTGTGTGTGCATGAAACTTGCTTTGATTTCTTGAAATTCACTGTGTAAGAATACCTCACAAACTGTAAGCAAAACTAATTTGGTGAATGTTTTATTTACTTTAATGAACGTGAAAGTGAGAAGTATCTTACAGCATCTTCCAGCCTTTGAAATGCAATACTGTTCCCTGGCCCTATTTCTGTTCGGTAGAGGGAGATAAGAGGTTTAATGGTGTGACAGAAGTACTAATCCACAAAAATGAAGTGGTGGTTCCAAATAGTTTATTTAGCTGTTTGTGTAGATAGCAGCTGCAAAGTATGAACTTTTAATGTTTTAGGAAGCTTACTGCTGCAGATATAAACTTTAAAGGAGTTGAAATGTCAGATACAGTTTTGACATCTGATTGCATCATATGTTTTGGTGATATTCAAACTTGAGAGGTAAACACTTGTGTTTCCTTGGTACTGAAATTTCTCAGGGGTCATAGAGCTTTTCAGTGCTGTAGTTAAAAATCACTTTTTGTGTGGATTAATGGCTTTTAAAGTCTTTCTCAACACCAAAAATAGTGATAACAGATCTGCAGAGCCTCTTCAATCCTTAAGAAGAATTTTGGGTCAGTAAATAGGGAGGATCTGAGATAACAAGGAATATCTATGTATTTATAGCATGATAGACGTGTTCAAAACTTTATCCTCTGATTTGCTGTTTAAAGTCTGTGTGGAAAAGTGATGTAAAAAAGCTCTTTGTTCTGTAATCTGATAAATTCCCTTTATCTAGGCAGAAAATAAAAACTGAAGGATATTTTAGTCTTTATAAAATGGATTATAGCTAACTTTAAGTCTTAAAGACTAAGAATATTTTTAGTCATAAAATTTTGGATGTCAAGAAAATGCGAAGGAGGTATTAGTACATTGGATACCTTTCACAGCTGTGCCTGAAACATCTGAAGTTACGTGCCCTTCTTGTTGCACATTTTAGGAACTGGTGTCTTGTTTAGAAGGTAATATGACGTTACTTATATTTGTTTTCTAAAGTGTGTAAGCTGAGACTGGGGTTTTACAGAATTCTTCAAAAAGGTTTGATTATGTAGTTTTTTGGAAGATACAGTATTATGAATATTTATGTTAAAAGGTGCTTATCTATATGAAAACAAGGTTACTTGTTGCATGATCTGAAAATTTGAAGATCTAAGGGTTATGTGTTCTTAATATCTATGACTTATACTTCAAATGCATCTTACTGTCATGTCATTCCAAAGGTATAAAGGTTTTCCTGAATTATCCTGCTACTTTAACCCTTGCTTTCTGAAAGGACTTAAGAAACCTAAGACATCTTTCCTAAAAGTGGAATTTAAGCTCCCAAAAGTGCATGAGCTGTCTTGAAAGCTTCCCTGCTTCCTCTGAATTCTCTCTGTGAGCTGGCAGATACATTTTGAAACAATTGAGAGTGTCTCTATAGGAGGAACATATCACTGCCACTTAATGAAAACCTTATTTTGCATGTGAGTGTCACATCCTTTTTGTTATCGAGTGTTGTCTCAAAACTCGTTGGGATGGGGGTTTCTTCTCCTTAGATTCATTGATCAGAGCAAGCTAAATAATGTTCTGTGGTTAGGAAACACTCTAATGCTCAAACTTGCTGGTGTACATGAGTTGTTAATGACAATTTCACACCAATAAAAACAAGCATAATTTGAAAAATAACTATTTCCAAAATTACTATCTTTCCTTCCATGGTGGTAGTAGAAGGCTATATAGTAGTAGATAATCTTCTTGATAGTGAGCTGCTGCCTGTCAAGTCCCTTCCCTGATTATTATCTGCACCACTGCTATGAAAATAGGCTGGAAAAGTTGGGCTAGTTCAGCCTGGCAGAGAGAAGGCTCTGGGGAGGCCTCATGGTCTTTCCATACCTGGAGGGAGTTTGAAGAAAACATGGAGAGTAATTTTTTACATGGACAAATATGCATAAGACATGGTGAAATTAGTTTTAAACTGAAAGAGGGGAGGTTTGGATTTGATGTTATGAGGGAATTCTTCATTGTGAGGGTGATGAGATGCTGGAACAGGTTGCCTGGAAAAGTTGTGAATGCCTTAGCCCTGGAAGTGTTCAAGGCCAGGTTGGATGGGGCTTTGAGCAACCTGGTCTGGTGGGTGGCATCCCTGCCCATGACAGAAGGGTTGGAACCAGATCATGTTTAAGGTCCTTCCAACCCAAACGGTTCTGTGATTATATGCACATTTTCCTTTAATCTTGTAGAGAGCACCCAGGCTTGGAAGTGCTTGGCTTAGACAACGGAAACAACAGAAGATGAAACTTTTCTCACTTGAAAGTTATATTTTAAAATCTCTCTTAATTGAGAAGGTCCTTGTGGTTAAATGATGCTCACTAAAGCTGGTCATCATGCTTTTGATATTGGTAAAATGACTTTTTTTTTTTTAGGGAAAGTCGAGGGTTTTGGTAATTGTATAGGTTTTTTGTGTCAGTGGCATTGAGTCTACTGTACATTAGGTTTCATAAGAACTGGATGATATGAAGTGCTCAGGATATTTCCAGACACGTCTGAAAGTACAAAATGCAGTATGGCACAGTCCTTTTTCCCAGTATTTGTATGTCTTTGAAAGCTGGACAGGGAAAGTATTTGGGTGGTTGTCTAAATCAGCTTAGCACAGTGAAGTCTGTGTAGCCCTTTTCTTTCATTTGACACCAGTGCTGAAGGTTTTGCTGTTTACTGGAAAACCACTTTTAAATTGCTTTTATTTCATTCTGCAGTGACCTGACAGACCTGCTTGTTTAAAACTTATTTCTAGTCTTGCTCTGTTTAAAGTCAAGAAGCTTCACCTAATATGCTTAAAGTTGAGCTGTTACTAGTGACTTGGGAAGCAAACTGCTTTCTCTACACTGCATATTAAAGGAGCCATGTATATGTCACATGGGTTTTACATTACTGCTGTTAGTGTTCAAGAACTGCTATTATTTTTAGTTTTGAATAGGGTTTTCAGAAATTTGAGTTGTTCACAGCAGTCTAATAGTCTCCTGCCATATTTTGTTTCTCTTTGCTTTATTTTTCCTGTGTTTGTAGTGGAAGTATATTCTTCATTTAAAAAAGTCATTAGAACACACTTCTCTGCTTTTGGGTATATTTTGGCGTTCACTTATGTCCATTTTGCTGTGAAAATACAATATTTGAGAAAAAAGTTTCCTCATTCAAATTATACTGCTTTTCCTGTTACTCCTCATTGGTACAATGTATAAGTGCTATGTTTTCTTTTCCTCTGTGAGCTTTTAAGAGAACTTGAAAAGTAATTGCTAAGAAGGAGTGGATTCTTCTTGTTTGTAGGCTTGGAACTAGTAGTGTCTGGAGATATCTTCTCATAAAGTGTCATGCTAAGAACATGTTGAGAATATTCTGTCTTCAACAAACTGTTACTGACCTTAGGAGTTCTTCTGAATAAAACTTCTTGCTGTGGATGATTCTTACAGAAAACTGCTGACTGACAAATAAAACAAGTGCTAATATAGGAAGGAAAGCATAGGAGTTTCATATCCGGTTGATGAAATTTCAAAAGAACAATAATTAACCTAATGACTATAATTATTTGTTCATTTTATTTTTCGTGCCTCCTGGGTTAGACAATTTTTATATATCACTAAAACCGTTATTTTTGTTAAAATATATTAATAAGCATTATGTTTTAAAGACACAAAACATGGTTTGCTTACTGTAAAACTTTAACAACAAACCGTACTATGGATCTCAATTTTTGAGTGTGTTAGCTTTAATTTTGGATGCTTTGGAGCATGTTGGCTGCTGCTAAGTGTCTGTATTAGGTACCAATCTATCAGTGCTTAAATGTACTGTGAACCCATGTGTTTCCCTGATGACTTCAAAGATAGCTATGCACATGTTTAATGTGAGTGGGCTTTATTTAGTGACATTAGGTCAAACTAATTAGTCTGTCTGCTCTCCTACTTGCATCTTTTTGTGCACGCAGTTGGCATCTCCATGGAGTTCTAACCAACTCTTGATCCTGTACAAAGGTTGCGGATTATATCTGGCCATCTGAAGTGTGTTTAGAACTGAATTTTGTTCTTGACAGATCCCGCAGTGGTGTGTTGACTACATGCGCTCGTTACCTGGCCCGAAGAGGGGAGTGGCGTGTACCCAGCCCAGGCGAGTGGCCGCCATGAGCGTGGCACAGCGGGTTGCTGATGAGATGGATGTCATGCTGGGGCAGGAGGTCGGTTACTCCATTCGATTTGAAGATTGCAGTAGTGCAAAAACCATTTTGAAGTAAGTATGGCAACTCTCAGGTAAAGCTATAACATTATACTCGGAGGTGAGAGGATTGCAGGGTAGTGAAAGGTGTGAGCAAAGGTATGAAAGGAGTAATAAGGGAGTGAGTCTATGAATAGGTACTTTCTGTGTGAGTGGGGAAGAGAGCCTGGAACCCATAGCATGAGCTGAGAGAAACCTGAGGTGTGAGGCTTGAGTAGAGTTGGAAACTATTAATTCCTTCTAAAGAAATCACTGCACTCTATGGAAATTAATTTTGAATGATCCAAAAAGAAGGTGATCTGAAGAAGCATTTTATAATTAAGGTGCTATTCAGAATAAAGCCCTTCAGCATGCAGTTTCTCTTTGTTATTATACATTCAGTTGTTTGTCTGTGGTGTCTTCTACTCAGGGTACTTCTGGTGAAGTTCAGTAGTTTATTTCAGTAAGGAGAACTATCCAGAGTGTCAAAACTGGCTGTGGGACACATAATCCATAGCATTTTAGTTATCGACTGCTCTAGATTCCTGTGCTGTGTCGCTGGAACCAGGTGCACTTAATATGTCATTTGCAGTTTACATTCAAAATGCTCACTTAGAAGCACCACATAGTGTAGTTCAAGGATTAATGCTTTTTCTATAAAAGAGGTATTCACTTTTGTTATACAGGTAGTTGAAGGGTAGAGAATAAAGTTAATGTGTAAAAAGAAATTAAACTGAGACAGAAAAGCAAAAAGTGAATGGATGATCTGCAAACAGAAAAGAGTAGCAACTCTTGCAGAAGCAGTATTTCTAGGATTTCAGAGGATGTTTTCCTCCTTTTCCTGTCTCTGATTGTAGGTGTGGAAGTCTGCCAGTAATAGTCTATGAACTAGTTATAAATGTTCCTGAAGTTTGTTTCCTCCTCTTTTTTTTAAGTTTTCCCCCCTTAATCCCAGATTTCACTTATACTCTAAAGTAATTTCTGTTTGAAATCTTAAAATGGCCTTGTTACCTTGTTGGAAATAGTTTACTGATGTTTCTGCTTTTAATTTGTGAGGATTCTGTATCAGACTTACTAAACAAAATGCACATTGAAGTTGTTTCTCTTTGTGTTCAGATATATGACTGACGGTATGTTACTTCGTGAAGCAATGAACGATCCTTTGCTGGAGCGCTATGGTGTTATAATTCTTGATGAGGCCCATGAGAGAACACTGGCTACGGATATCTTGATGGGAGTTCTGAAGGAAGTTGTAAGACAAAGATCTGATTTGAAGGTCAGTAATGATGAAGTCCAAAAGCATCTCCTTTCTAGTTTCAGGCATATTAAATAAAGTATCTGTGTGCTTACCATTAGCTGATTTTTATAATCGTTTTTTGATCTATGATAATCTACATTGGAAGGATAACCTTAGGAAATTCATAATGTGGTTTGTATTGAAGTTACTACGAACAATGTAATTGTAGCTTAACCTTATGTATTGGACTAAGAATTTTTTTGGACCTTTGTAACAAGGGTGCTGTATTCAGGTAATAAAAACATGCTTAATAGTTGATTACTTTCTTACAATTACATATTGCACATGTAACATTTCTCAAATTCTTGTTAACCTCTTGAATAACTTTTTTTTTTTTTTTTTTTTGGTCCTCCAAACCTACAGGTTATAGTTATGAGTGCTACTTTAGATGCTGGCAAGTTTCAGATCTATTTTGATAACTGTCCTCTTCTAACTATCCCGGGTCGCACCCATCCCGTGGAGATATTCTATACTCCAGAACCAGAAAGGGACTACCTTGAGGCTGCCATTCGAACAGTGATCCAAATTCACATGTGTGAAGAAGAAGAGGGAGATCTGTTACTCTTTCTTACTGGACAAGAGGTACTTTCTTCCCATTTTTATCCATTGTTCTATACAATAACTCTTTTAAGTGTCTTGCGTAGACTGAGATTTTTAGTTTCCTTTTGTAGTTTATCATTTAAATGACCTGAGATATTTTCCCCTGCCATACACTCTGGGTCCTTTGACATTGTACATGTCTGTAATATACATATGCTATGCCAGCCCTCTCTAAAATGAAAATTCCCCTTAACTCATGTACTTCAGAAACCTGTAGTGTGATCCCAAGGTTTGTGCTGATGTGAACTCAGAACTTCTGGGGACCTGACAGCATCTTTGGCTTTTACTGAAAAGGTAGTTCTCTGCACTTCTGGATGTGTATTGTACAACTTACCTGAAGAATAACTCTTTGGTTCTGCTACTTAGCTATCGGTATAAGTTTTAATAAGAATGCTTAGGTTTTGTTTTTGTTTTTTTTTATTAATAGCTTTGAGTATTAGGCTGTAGACTTTATGTACCACAAATTCAGGGAGTTATGTCTCAGAAATAGACTTGGTGCCTTGCAAAAGAGGATTGTATAAAAGCACTTAAGCTAAGCTACATCAGGAAATGAGAATTTTTTGACCATCTTAAATACTTTACTTGAAATGAACTGGGGTATTTTTTTAATCCTACTCTGTTGCTTTGAAGCTCTTTTGAGTATCTTAATTAGTAGACTGAGATGGAGAAGAGGTAAAAAACCCATATGAAAAGTTTGCATTATGAAAGTTTGCTGGACTTTGTCAACATAAAGTTTGTTTTAAGCAGGGAAAGAAAGGCAGCTAGCAAAAATCTTTTTCCAACTCATTCTCTTTTCAAAGGATGTGGTACAATTCAGTGTCTTTCATCTAACCATACACAGTTTTAACTATGCCAAGGGAGGAAAGTGGTACAAATAACTTGTGATGCTAGAGGTATCCAGGCTTCTTGAGTAGGTTTGTCAGATATAAAGATGTGTTGCCTCTTAAGACATTTGATTAAAGTATCTTCTGGCAGATCATCTCCTCCCTTGAAAAAACAAGGCAATGGTGGTCCCTGTAAAAGCAAATACTCTGGCCTATAAATTTGTCCTTCTTTGGATTATTGCTGAGTTAAAGTACAGGTAGGGAAACTGTTCAACAGTTGTGGTTTTTGAAGTCTACCTGCTTGGTTTTAGCTTGAATTTGTAGTTCAGACTAGTCAGGCAAGTAAATGTGTGAATTAATGAAACAGCTGTTGCAAATGGGTGGATGAATCAGTGGCAACAGAAAGGAACACTGCTGACCAGCTGTTTCAGCAGATTTTGTTTTCTTACCAGGATGCTGAATCAGGCTGGTCTTTAACCTTTCATGAGGCACAAATACTTGTCCTTCTGATTTATAAATTATGTCCTTGCTGCATCACTTGCTGTGTATTACTCTCAATAACCTGTTGCAACAATTGCAGCCTGGCTCCACACTGAACTGGGCTAGTACCTGCCCGTGCTACAGACTTACTCTGTTGTTTTGTATGAACAGGTTCTTTGATTTCCACTGAGTTAATCTGCAGGACACAATGTATTATAAACAAATGTTAAATAAAATTCTGCACATAGTACATGCTCATATATATATATATATATATAATTATGCATAAATATATTGACCATGTTGTATCACTGAATCACTTAAAACTTGCATTGATAAGATACCATCCTCTGCTCTGGAGTCTACAGTTCTGCAGTCCACATTTCAGTCGATGGTACTGTCCAGGGGCGCTGGAGTTGGCTCTGCCTCAGGCTACTCTGAATTTAGGTGGTTAGCATGAAATTGAAGTCTGGTTTAACTTCTGTAGAGAAACTTTGAAGTGTTTTAACCATTTTGATTAATGACATTTTGGGGCCTCTGCTGAGCTTCACAGAAGTCTGCAGATGTGTCACTGTTGAATCTGAAGTGATGGGACCTACTGTACTCTCAAGAACTGGGAAGTGTGCTCTAGGTACCATTACCACTCTATGCTTTGGGTTCAGGAGGCTCAGTAGCTGGAAATTTATTTATGCTAGGCAGAAATGCTGTATAGTTATTTTGGATTCTTGAAAACAACATGAACAGAGTAAAAGATCTGTGTTGTCATGCCCAAAAAATTAAAAGAAGCTTAAATACATTTGGAAACTAAAGGAATCTTAATTGTATAGGCCTGTTACTGGATGAAGATAAAATTGTTGTTAATGGTGCAGAAATAAGTATTCAATAAAAACTTCCTGAATCCTGAAAGGGGGAAAAGTATGTGATTATGTTGCATGAATTGCTTTTCAGTCCATTAATAACAAAAGAGGATGTTTAAACCCCAAATTTATTAGGAATAAACATTTTGAAACAGGACTTGTCCTACAGTCCCTCTATGGAAGAAAGCTGTTCATCTTAAAACCAGATGAGAAAACACCCTGGTCTATCAGGAAGATTCCAGAATATGGAAATAATGTTCATGTTTCATGCCAATATTCAAAAAATGTATAACCTGGGTAGCTGTAAGCTAGGTTGTCTGATGTCAGTCACAGGCAAAATTGGACACTCTGACACGGATTTCTGTTCGCAAGGGAAAAGAGTAATTACATTTCAGTCAACATGTCTTTCTTAGACAATAGGTGTTGTCAAACTTGTTCTCAGTCATTGAGATTACAAATTTGGTAGTCTAGTTGTGTAGATACACATTTAAGGTTGACTTCGAGTGTCTCAAGGCTGGCTCACCTGCAGATCTGAGAGGCAGCTGGTTTATTGTCTGCTGGAGTTCTGCTAAAACACTATTAGATTTTATGCTCCATTAAGATCAGTAATCTGGGAGTAGCTGTAACATCCTTACAGACAAAACTTGTGGAATGGGGGTGGCAGAAATAATGACACAGAAACTGTATATATATGTCTTACATGTTTTGTTAACATAGCCACTTACAAATGCCAGTTGTGTTCTCTGTCACTCTGATGCCCTTTTCGTTATAAAGCCAAATGCATCATTACACATTTAGGGAGGAGAATCCAGGCTGCATCTGGAGACTTGAAATACAGACCAGCAGTGTTGTTTTTGATGGTAGATAAATATAGTGAAAAATGTTGCTGCAAAGTTCAGTGTTCTAGAAAGGCTTAAAGTGGTTTTGATAAAATTGATGTTGGCATAGGAGAGAGTTGCAAAACATTTTTGATGTTTTGATAGAAAGTTTTGTAATTAAAGGGGTTTATTTTATAGGCACAAATTTTTTTTATCACAGTAAGACTGGTTAAACTGTGGAACTGAAAGAAAATGGAGGATTTCTTACAAGGAAATTGAAGTCAAAATTGACAACTCTTTTAGTCTCAGTGGTAGTGACTGGGTGAGGTTAAGCCAGTCTGTGTACTAGGCTTAACGAGTTGTCTTGTTTAGCCTCACATAGAAAGTATTGAATTGGGTAGCATAAACTGAAAGAAGAGTAATAATACTAATTTTGTTCAAGTGCTAATGGGAGGAAGATTTTTTGCTCTTCGTTCATTTGAGATGATGTCATATATTTCAAAAGATCCTGAATATAGGCATTGTGCTGAGGCAAGCTCAGTGTTGACTTGACAGAGCAGTTGTAGTTATGGTCAAGTGTTGGCTTTTTCCATGTATTACTTTTTTTGTCTGAGTGCATAACTTTACATAGTTTTGTTTCTCTAAATTTGTGTTCAGAGATCTCTCCCAAAGTGATGCAGCTCTTGGTGCCAGTTCTTTTTACTGCTGTGTCCTCGTTTTAGCTTGTAGCAGTCTGCTTTCATTCCCAGAGGAAGAAAGGAAAATTAGGGATGTTCCGTGCAGGTTTAAGGACACAGAAGGCATTTCTAGAAGGTTCATGGCATCCAAGCCAGCTGTGTCTAGCTGTGCCCTGCCTGTGATAGAAGTCAAAAGAGAAGGGGGTGTCTGCCAGATACTTCTGGTTTGTGAAATAATTTTTGTCTATGCATTTGTTTCCCTTGCATACTCATTTTACACAAGGTAAAATTGCCTTACACTTTTTAGGCATCAGTTTCCTTCAGGGTTTTACAGTTATGTCTCCTTGACTCATTTATCCAGGATGAAGCTAAATCTAACTCTGCGTAGTGTAGCAGCTGATGTGCTGTTTAAAAGAGCTTATAGTATGTTTTGATTGGAGCAGTCTTGAAGTTTTGCTTATCCCATGAGATTCTTTAAGTGTACCAAATAGAGGGTCAGCTGAAAAAAGGGTTTCTGAAATAATGTTACCAAGGACCATGTTTGCAACATCACTGAATTCTGTTTTGCATGCCAAATACGTGAATTGTTCCATTAACTCTGCTTAAAATGGCATCACTAGTAACCATCTCTTTGTACAAACGGTTTTTGTAAAGATGAGAAGTTAAGATCTAAAGATGAAGTGGAGACTGACGAGCAAGTTAACTGGCTGTTTGTGTGTACTGCTTTGGCCTGTGAGCCAGAATGAATGCCAGCACTCAAGAGCTTTGGCTCAGGATAATTCACAGTCCGTCATTCGGTAACTGCTGTTTTATTATCAGTGTGATTTGAAGCCTCCCCTGTGGCACCACTGTTGAGTCTTGCACACAAACAAAACGGAAGGAAATTCAGGTTATTGGATTGTTACCTTTGCAAGAATAATGTAACTCAGTAACTTAAGGCCACAGAGATGTTCAAAAGACTGGGAAATGCTGAGAGAACTGGGCTTTTTTGGCCTTGAGAAAAGAAGGCTTGGGGGAGGCTTATCACCATGAGCCAGTATTTAAAGGATGGCTACAATGTAGATGGAGACACTGTTTTTACAAAGAGTCACATGGAAAGTTGAGGGGTAATGAATAAAACTTACTCCTAAGGAGCTTGTGATTAGACACAAGAGGAAAATTTTTCACAATGAGAATAATCAGGCACTGGAATAATCTCAAAGGGGAGATGGTGGATTCCACAACATTGGTCACATGGGATTTGGCTGCATAGGGTTCTGAGCCATATTGTGTAGGCTGTGCTTTTGCCAAGTGTGGCGGTTTAACATCAGCTGGGAATTAACCTCC